TGCTGAAGGTGTCCGTGAGGAAAAATGGACTCCAGGCTGATTCCCGTCATGGTTGTCTCCTGGCACCAGGTGGCTGTGAAGCCGGATGCCAGCAAGGCACACTTGGCAGACAAGAAGGACTCCTTGGACTCCATGCTGGGCGGGCTGCAGCAGGACTTGCAGGACCTCGGAATTGCCACAGTGCCCAAGGGCCATTGCGCTTCCTGCCACAAACCCATCGTGGGAAAGGTAAGGTCACAGGATGTGTCTGCGTCTCTCCATCCCGCCCATCCTTAGACTTTCTAGTGCTTGTTGATTGTCAGCGACGTCTACGGAGCCCCCGACGCTAAGCCCCCTGCCTTACCTGTTTCCCTCATTACTGGCCCCTTAGCCCTTCGGGGGACGCTGTTTTCGCCCGCTTTGTGAAAGTGAGGACATGGAGTCTCGGGGCATTAACTGACAGGCCCAAGGTCTAGTAGGGGTGGAGATGAGACTTGAACCCAGGGGAGTGTGACCTCGGGGTCTGGCTCTTCACCTTGACAGGGAAGACCCTTCCCAGGACCCTGCTCAGACTCTCCCTTCTCACTTGATTGACCCGTTTCAGCTACCCTCAGGCCACAGCTCCTGCCTCACCCCCTCATCAAACCACAGAAAAGGGCTCTGAGGCTCTGCTGGGGGGAGATGTTCAGCCTAGAGGAATAAAAGCTGTCCCGTTCCCCTCCCCTGGAAGGCTGCGGGTCCGAGCCCTTGCCTGTCCCACGCAGGCGCAGTTCAGTGCACAAACACTTCCAGGCTTCTCTCAGCGCCCCTGGCCGGGAAGGCCGACGGACGCCCTTTCACTCCATCAAGCATGGATCCCGGGAGCACCAGGGAGGGAGGAGCCAGATCCCGGCTCAGAGCTGGGTCTGGGGGGGCCTCCCTTTCCCGGGGCCACAAGCGAAACATGCCCCAGAGCTGCGCAACCTGCAGGCCCCAGCACCCCCTGGGGCCCCTGCCAGGCATTCTGACTTCTTTCAGGTGATCCACGCCCTCGGCCAAGCCTGGCACCCGGAGCACTTCACCTGCACTCACTGCAAGGAGGAGCTGGGCTCCAGGCCCTTCTTCGAGCGCAGCGGCGCCGCTTACTGCCATGACGACTACCACAACCTCTTCTCTCCGCGTTGCGCCTACTGTGCCGCGCCCATCCTGGACGTAAGGGACCCTGACTGCTGCGGGTGGTGTCTGGGGCTGCAGCTTTCTCACCTGCCTGTGGTTCCTTTTCCAGAAAGTGCTCACGGCCATGGACCAAACCTGGCACCCGGAACATTTCTTCTGCGCTCACTGTGGAGAGGTGTTCGGCCCCGAAGGTAGGACCCTGGGTAGTTCCCAGGCCACCCACAGCTCTGCCTTGATCTGCCAGCGCCCCCCGCCCCAGCTTTCCAGTCCCGCTGCCCAGGCGGTGCTGGGTGCTGAGTGCTGGGTCCTGAGTGCTGGGTGCTGAGTGCTGGGCACAATGTTGGGGGTGGGGGCTGGCTCACCACACTCCCTGCAAAGCTTATAAATGTTATTTAGTATTGTTATTAATAGCATATGTTCTAAACAACCGAGTGAACTGGCTAGGTTATTCAATTTGTTGAAAGTGATTTTTTTTTTTGCGTCGAAGACAATAGAAATGCATAGTTTAAAATCCAGTGATTACGTTCAGGGGATATGAACAAAGAGCTATCAGCTCAATTATAAATAAATTGATTTTTAAAAATAAAAATAAAGTATTATTTTAGAATTTTCTTAAAAAAACACACACACACAAAAAACTGTCCCAGCCCTCCCTGGTGGCGCAGCGGGTTAAAGCACAGCACTGAGAAGCTAAAGCCACTTCCGCATGAGTTCGATCCCCGCCTGCCCCGGAGGTGACCACATGGCGTGGCAGACCTCTCCTGACCCGCCCGCTGCTCCCCTCAGCAGTGTACTTCATCGATCTGCCTGTTCTGTTCCCCACTCTGTCTCTGGTGAATCCTCTCACCCTCCGCGTCTCTGGCCTGTACCCCAGATCTGTATGAATAAATAAATAAATCTTTTAAAAAAAAGAAAAAAGAAAACCATCACTAGCTTTTCCTCTCATCACATACAAATCCAGTTCTTGCTACAGTTCTTTTTAGCTGTTCCTGTTATCTGCTTGTGTTTTAAAGAATACATTCGTATCACTTTAGATCTATTCCCCTCCCCATCCCCAAGCTCCAATTTTAACCATGATGTATTCACTTTCTGCCAGGGATTTTCATTTCCACCTCAGTCCGCGCCCAGCATAGTCCTCCCTCCCTGTCCTCTCAGTGCAGAATCCGGTGCTTGCACGTCAGGTCATTCATTAGCAAGCACAGGTTGATGCTCCTGGAAGTAGTCCTCACCTGCAGCCAGGTGGCAAACTGAAAGCCTACCAGGCCATCCCACCTCCCCACACTCACTTCCCTTCCCAGGAAAATGGGCCGAATACCAATGCTGACCTTACAGGGTCCTTCTGCGGCAGAGAGACAATCCTGGGCCTGGCCCAGGAGGTGTCCTCTCAACGCATGTTAGTACCACTGCCATGGCGTCCTTGATTTAAGGTGATTTCCCCCAGAAGCTAATATTCAGATCCCTTTGTCATTAGCTTCATTTTCATTGAACTGATCACTAACTGATGGGCCAGAACTGTGAAATCCTTCCCCAAATGGCCCGCCCCAACTGGCAGCATGCCAGTTCCATGTCTTTTTTCGGAGGCACTATTTCTGAAGCCTTCCACCCTCCCTCTCCAGACTGGATGGCTTCTTCTCAGGCCTGCTGAGGAGAGGTTAGTCTGGGCCACCTCTGGTGAACTGGTTTTATTACTTTGCTCTTTGTCTTTGAAAGCATGATACTGCTTTGTTTTGGTGGAATGCATCCTGGAGGAGCTCCCGAGAAAGAGTAAATAGGACATAAAATTGTTGTAAACTTTATTATTTGAAAATACTTTCACTCTGTTACCTCCCTTAACTTGCCTGGCCATATAATTCTGGGTGAAAACCAACTTTCTTTTCATTCTAAAGACATTGCTTCATTGTCTTCCAGTTTCCATGATTGAAAAGTTTCAATTTGGATTTTATTCCTATTCCTGATTCTTTCTAGATGATCTGTTTTTCTCTCAGCCAGGTTTTTTCCTTCTGTTTTGTGAATTCTCTTGATTTCTTTTTTTCTGACTTACATTTGCCTTGAACAAGTATGACTCATGTAGGGACTCAGAACCCTTTTGTTCTTCTGGAATTAACTCAGTGAAAGTTTTGCTCCTCTCTCCTAAAGAAAAACTAAGGTGGTACCCTGTCTTTTCTGATTAACATAATACACAGTTCTAAACAGAAAATCAGTTTGAAACACAAAACTAAGCCCTAGGGTTGCTCAGTCTAAAGCTCCCCAAGTCCTTCAAGTGCAGCTGTCCTTTCCCCTGGCAGGCCAGAGTTTCAGGAGGCCGGGGGTGGGCAGTGGTTTCCACAAGCCCTTTGCTGCCTCTGCATCCAGCCTCATGGCTAAACTCCACTGATCTCTCGAGGCTTGAAAAAGGGCTGGGAAGAGATGAGCTGGGAGGAGATGAGCTGATGAGCTGGGAGGAGATGAGCTAGGAGGGGATGAGACTGCAGCTCCAGGAGCTCTAACCCACTCAGCACCTTCAGACACCTGCTTCACGCTCCCTGGGCTTGACAGTTGCTTAACTCTTTTTAATTTGGGGGTATCAAACACTCGATACCCCCTTACATGTCTGGACCATACAGCTATCTTTGAGGTCCATCCCTCATAGACATTTTTCCTCACAGAGTTCTCATCGTCCCCCCATTCTCTTTCAGAAAGGATTTGATGGTTTCAATCATTCCTTTCTCTCCCACTGCCTCAGGCAGCTTGCACCTTTCCCTCGCAGTCAGTGGAGCTGCTCCCTCTGCAGCTGCCTCTGACCCCTTCAACCAGACTCTCACCTGTGCACTTTGCCAGCATGAACCAAATGCCATCAATTCCACCCCACTAATGGTCGGGGGTCGGCGTCCAGGGACACTGAAGTCCCTGTCTTGGCTTGAGTCAGTACAAGCCATTCCTCACCCCCTTTGGAGGGGCCTGGGGACACCACTGGACAGTTTTCTGCCTCTCCCCACTTTCTATCCTCAGTGTGAGCGAGGAGTTCAAGAATTTCGTGAGCAGTCCCCAGACATCTACTTTAAGGGTTGTCTTGCAGCTCAATTTGGAATTCAAGAACTACTGTGTCTTGATACTTCATATCTTGCTATGTGGGTCTTGGCCAGATGCTGCTGCTCTTAGCTACTGGCTTCCTCACTTAAGGAGACATTAAAATGCTGACTGGAAGCTCTAGGGATGGAGGCCCAGCTTGATGACTGGGAGACTCTAATGGAAGGTCCTCAGGGAGCATGCTTTGCCCTTTTTTCTATGGGACTCTTGAGTACAAATATTTTAGGTCTTTTATCTTGAATCATTTTCACCAACGAGATGTTCTCTCTGCCAGTATTCTGAAAATGAAAAAAGGAAAATGATTTCACCATTCAGCATGACCACTTTTATTTGATTCCCACTTTTCCATGGAAAGGATCCCCTCTTTCCTCCTGGGGTCCAGTGTCCCTGCTTTTGAAATGCTGCAGTTTGACATCTCCAGAAAAGACCTCTCCATCATGTGGGTGACACTTTCAACCAATCCTATTTCTAGTGTCAAAGGCTACTTGAGGTGTTCAGTCCTGAGACCCTCTGATGTCGGCAGCTCAGGACGCCTTGGATATTATTGGCATCTGAAAGTGCCCAAATTCTAGTCTTTATTTCTGCCAAGCTATTGGGCACTCTTTACCCACTTTGACTTAGGGAAAATGCTGTTGATATCTCCTTTCCCTTTCTCTTTTTTCCTTCCAGATAGTTCTCTTTTAAAGATCATGTTACTGATGTTTCACGAGGGAGTGAAACTAGCCCACATGTCCTGCCCTTCACCAGCAGGAAACTCCCCTAAATGTCAGGCATGTTATGATGTATATGATCAACTGTTAGTCATTGGATCCCTACCACCACCTCACAGGAGTTATTTTACTCCACATGTTGGCTAGTTAGAGGTGGAGATCCTGAGCCTCCAGGAGGCGAGGTCATTTTCTGAGTCATATCCCTGCAAAGTCTAACAGTTGGAATTTGAACTTAGGTTCCATTTCTGCGAGTCGCATGTTTTTTCTTGGCATCACCATAACTGCCTCTCAATGAGACTCCGTCCCTCTCCTGCTGATGGACCACGTTCCTTTCTTGGTACTAACATGACACATTTTACTGGAGGGTAAATTTGGACCCAGTGGCATTGACATAACTCACTAGCAAAGTGCTTTGTAGTAATTTGCTTGTTCACTGAAGCCTGGTCAGGGCTTTTCACAAACCATTAGGTATCGCATTTCTAGATGGCACTTCCTTTAAGCGGTATTTTCCACTGAGATTTAATCAGAGCCTCTGCAATGGTGTTGTGGAAAATTGATGTTGTATTGGTAGCTGTGGGTGTCTGTTAGCCGAGCAGGACAGTGGACAAGTGCAAACTGCCTGTGAATCATTATGATGTGGAATCTGTTCAAGAGCAACAGAGTGCAGACTTCTTTCTGTATAAAGACAAGCCATGAAGAGACATGAGTCAGGTACAAAAACAATATACTGGCCCTCGCTGGTGGCGCAACAGGTTAGGATGCAGCTCTGCAAGGGACCCATAGCCGCTTCAGTGTGAGTTCGATTCCCAGCCCCGGAGGTGACCCACATGGCGCCACAGACCCCTCATGACCTGCCCGCTGCTCCCCTCAGCAGTGTACTTCATCAATCTGCCTGTTCTGCTCCCCACTCTGTCTCTGGTGAACCCGCTCACTGCCCCTGCACCTCTGACTTGTACCCCAGTTCTGTGTACACAAATAAATAAATCTTAAAAAAAAATACCCTATCCATAGGGCGATGAGAAAGCACCAAAGGCAGCTGGCAGGCCACTCCTGACGGCTCCTCCATGACCCCACGCAGCAATATGGTTTCAAGTGAAATCACATCTAAAACATATTTTGGGGGATGCTGACCATAGAAATAAACATCCGTGAGTCAAGTCAGAAGTTCCTCTTGGACTGCATGTTGGTTTTCATCCCTTGCTCTCTCTGAGGGGCCCCTAGCGCATGGTTAGTACATTAATTAGGGGGCCTCCTGCCTTACCACAGTCACATAGTCACACACACAGCTTCTCTAATGACAGCACACGCCACCACACCTTCTGGGAAATGAAATTCATCTGCATTTCTCTTCAGTTCAGAGAATGCCTCTTTCAAGCGCAAGTTTCGAGCCTGTCAGGCCCCAGAATCCTCCTGGGACTGGGTCCTCAGCACCTACGTGTTCCTTTTTAATTGTTGGTTATGGAGGCCAGCCAGGTGCTCCCTAATTTCCCCTGTGGTAGAGAGCCTCTCCACAGCGTGGCTGCCTGCTCCTTCAGTGGCACCTCTAATTGTTAGTGTTTCTCATCTGTCCTCCTGGCGTAATTGGCCCCAGAGAGAGCCTCCAGGAAAGTTTCTCCGCTTATTGGGTTTCTAAATGCACGGTGTCGCAGCAAGCTTGGCCGGCTGCTCTTCATCCCTCTCCTGAGGCTCAGCAGAGTTGGAGCAGAGGCTGTTATCTCCCTGCTGTCTCCTTCTTAGGAACAGCCACCCGCCCAGGCTGAGATGAAGGTCATTCCTAGGGCAGTGTGCACGACTTATCGTTTTCTCAGCTAACACCTTCTCATAGGCAAGCTCGGCTCTATGTCACTTACTTTACAAAGCAGCGACATAACCCAGAGAGCTTTTCAGAAATGCAGATTCCCAGGCACAGGTCCAGCTCTAAGGAGTCAGATGCTCTGGGCAAAGGGCCCAGCAGTCTGCATAGTGACGAGCTCTCCAGCTGTGGGAGCATGCCAGGTTTGGGAACTACTGTTCTGTACAAAACAGGAAAGGTGATGGGCATTGGTTTGTTGTCTTCAATAACAGGCCTTCCTGCATCTAGAAATTCCCTGATAAAGTGAAGAAAGGAAAGTGAGCTTCTGTGTCTCGGGGGTTTAGAAGAGCAATAGAGGACAACTTGTAAAATTATGAGCTTACTGTTAGATCATAAGCCTTGGAAGTCTGTGAAATGGTCTTTTTAAGAAAACATAGTTGAATGGGCAAGGCGTGTCAGAATAGGGATCAGAAGTAATGGAAAAAGTGTAGCCGCCCTATGGGTTCTAATTCCTGGCTGCTTCTACTGTCTTTCCTCCCCGCTCCCTTACCCCCGTCACACCCCTCACACCCCTCACCCCCGATTTGGTTGCTACTTTCAAAGTGGATATTTAAGGAAAAAAATTTCGTGACCAGGCTGCTTTCCAATTCATGCTTTGTTTGCATGCAAACTTAGTGGGGTGCAGGTAGAGCTCTCATCATTCACAGAAATATTGGGTAACGATTTCTGGGCTCAGCTGATTTTGTCTCTTCTCACAGGTCAAGGTCAGGATGCAGTTAAGTCAGGAGTGTGACTTCCAAGTTAAGCTAATGAAGCGAGGCCTACGCTGGAATTTAGCTCTGTGACTGACGTTGGTTATAACCGCGTGTAATTTCTCCCAGCCTGTCTGTCCTCATTTGTTAAATGGGAAGGTTGCTGTGAAGAGGCCAGTTTCAATTTAGTACCCTAGGTAGGGCCGTTGGTTGGAGCCATATGAAACAGATGTCTAAGTGGGGCTGCTAGTCATCATTTTCATGTTAGCCAGACCCTGCACTTCAATGCTAAGGAGGGTTCCTTGCAGAAAAATTGCCCTGGCTTTAGATACTGCATTAATCCTGGGGTGAGATCATAAAGGACAACTACTTCTGGAGCTAAGTGTGTAGCAGTTTAGTTATAATATTGTTTCCATATCTGCTGGCTCAGTAAATATTTATGGAGAAGGCACTATGCAGGGTTCAGATATGTTCTAGGTATGAGGGATACAGGAATCAAAAGCAAACTAGCTCACACAAGTGTTAGGACAAAGAAAGTGGGTGTGTGAGGAGTGGGGTGATTGGGTCCATGAGGTGATGAGGGGTCAGGCCCTCTGGGCATCATGGGGAAATGATTTTTCAAAGCAGAAGAGAACAGTAAGTGTTTGAAGGGAAATTCATTATATATATTTTTCTTTTTAAACCATAAAAACAATGAAATTTTCACTATGACCTAATACCCTGTTCAGTTACAGAAACATAAAAAATTTCCCTACCTCAGTTTTTCTAGTTATTTATACATCTATAAATATTTACAGATAATATAAATATAACATGTCTATATAAATTATCTTCTTTTGAAATAATTCATATGGATTAGATTCCAGGCTTGAGATAGCTCTATCTTTTTTTTTTTTTTTAAAGATTTATTTATTTGTGCATACAGAGCTGGGGTACAGGCCAGAGGCTCAGGGGCGGCAAGAGGCTTCACCAGAGACAGAGTGGGGAGCAGAACAGGCAGATCCATGAAGCACACTGCTGAGGGGAGCAGCAGGCGGGTCAGGAGAGGTCTGCACGCCATGTGGTCTCCTCCGGGGCAGGCGGGAATCGAACTCATGCGGAAGTGGTTTTAGCTTCTTAGTGCAGTGCCATAACCCACTGAACCACCAGAGAGGGCCAAGATAGCTCTATCTTTTAAGAACTATTCTTGATGTATATTATTAAATGACATTTCAAAGTAATAATTGCACTTAAACCTATTACCAGGAATGCATTCATATTTGAACAACTCCATACATTTTCACTCTTGGGTGTAATTACTTAATGCTACTTTTATTACTTAGCTAAAATTAGAAATTCAAGTAATAATTAGCAAAAAATTAAACTTCATTGTTTTCTTTTGAGATTTATGGCTTACTTATAATGCTGAACATATTGCTACTGAACGAATTTCTTCTTGAACGACTGGTCTATTTGTGAAGGGGATTTATTGTAAAGTGTTTAACTGAATAATCACCATGGGTTTCTCATATCATTATCTGAACACAGAATCTAAAATTGAGGCCAGAGGTTTTCTAATGAGTGCTTAACATGAAATTAATGTATAAGAGAGGAAGTAAACATTGGACTTGTGAAAGAGAAAGCATTTATACCTCCATAATTGATTAATTGTTTTTTTTGTTATGGAAATTTTTAAGCACAGAAGAGTTTCTTTACCTAACTTCAATAAGTATCTACAGTTTGTCAAGCAAATTTCCTCTAACTCCCGCCCAGCCATCACCCTTATTTCTTGCTGAAATATTTAAGTAAATTATAGACATGAATGGAATTTCCCCAGTACATACTGTAGTATGCATCATCTTAACCCAGGGCTTGTTAATAAGAATGAACTCCACACACTTAAATCAATAAATATTACTCATTATCCTTGAGAACCCCTGTTCAAATTTCTGAAATTTCTAGAAAAAGCCCCAAATAGCCAGAACAATTCTGAGAGAAAAGAAGAAAAATGGAGGTTTCACATTCTCTAAAGTACAGTACGCACAACAGTAGTCAAACTCGTGCTGCAGAGGCTTCCAGAGCTTCATAACGCTGTGCTTTGACTCGTTGCGCCAGTAGGGAGAGCCCTCCTGTGCTTCTTACACAACCCTCTGAAGTAAGTCCCCGAATGGCCCTCCCGCGACTGAGAAGACACAAGAGCTTGAACCACTGACGTCTCGAGTCTGCAGCGTGGCCATCTGCTGCGCTGAATCCTCGATTTTTCTCTCTCCAGGCTTTCATGAGAAAGACAAGAAGCCATACTGCCAAAAGGATTTCTTAGCCATGTTCTCACTCAAGTGTGGCGGCTGCAACCGCCCGGTGCTGGATAACTACCTTTCGGCCATGGACACCGTCTGGCACCCAGAGTGCTTTGTTTGTGGGGTCTGTATACTCAGTTATCTCTTGGAGTTAGCGGGACTCAGGGGTTCTCCTCTCTGTGAGCCTCACCTACAGCTGCTCAGAGCGGGCACAGCTGGAGGTGAGGGATCAACGCAAGATTCCCCAGTACAACACCCAGCACCTGCATGGGCCTTCGCGTGTCCACCTGGGTGCTGCGCTAGCTGCCAGTGTCGCGGGTCCGAGCTAATCCCTGCAACCCGGCAGGTGGCTGGCGGCATCTCAACGCGACAGGTCCTACCTCTTGTCGTCCCCTTGACTGTCTTTCTCTTCTCCCTTCCCCCAGGACTGCTTCAGCAGTTTTTCTACCGGCTCCTTCTTTGAACTCGATGGGCGGCCCTTCTGTGAGCTGCACTATCATCACCGCCAGGGCACCCTCTGCCATGGATGCAATCAGCCCATCACCGGCCGCTGCATCAGCGCCATGGGCTACAAGTACCACCCGGAGCACTTCGTGTGCGCCTTCTGCCTGACCCAGCTGTCGAAGGGCGTCTTCAAGGAGCAGAACGACAAGACCTATTGCCAGCCCTGCTTCCTCAAGCTCTTCGCAATGTAACGCCACCGGAACCAGAGTCCCCTAGAGCCTCTGTGCACTGTACCCCGGAATGGGGTCTCCTTTGCGTAAATGACCTTCTGTGCAACAGGCTAATAGAACGAGTGAAGGCGAACAAATCGAGGCTTTCTCGATGTTTAGTCAAAGAGGTTTATTGTCTAAATTTTAGCTTTCTAAGCTTATTAGGAAAAAAAAAAAAGATCAGGTACTTGTGTTTGGGTCCACACCTTGCTCTGTCTCTCTGCAGATCCATGGCCCGCAAGATGTTTTCACCCTTTTCTCCACTTCAACGCGTCACACGCCTCGCTGGTCTCCCCCACCCCTGGGGGTCCCCATAATGCTCCCTTTTCAGGCTCCCCTCGTTTCCGGTAGTGACTATTGTTGATTTCCGCTGTGCCCTCTGGGATCCTGACACACTCTCCAGCTCTTTCCATGCCCCTCAGTCTTGCTCTCTCAAGAGGAGACGGGGCAGCTCTGAAGACCAACAGCATCGCCAAGGACAGCGGGCTCTGGCTTGGGGACGCGCTGTCCTGGGGGGAGACGGACCTTTTGCTTCCGGTGACGCAGCCGTGTGTCTGTTGTTTACTTCCACACCATGGGTACTTTTTTTTTAATCAAAAGAATTGTTGAAAGTAAATTTGAAACGGATCATTCCTAAGTTTTAATTTAGGCTTGTAATCTTCATAATATTCCTGTTGTTTTGTTTGCACGAAGAGGATCACATCATTTTTAAAAAGATAAAATTGTTTTCATCACGTTGTTTACCAAAGGAGAAAAAGTGGATCCCCACCAGGTTGGGAGAATCCATGCTTGTGGGTGTGAACCTGGCGCCAGATGCATCGGATTTCTGTTCATCGCGTTCTGTTTTTTTTTTTTCTCTTATGTCATTATAGATTAATAAAATTGTTTAAAAATGAAAAACGTATTTTTTTTTGACTTCACAGTTGTCTCATGAAGACATAGAAAGTGGCCGTTCTTAACACGTCTCAGAAAAAGAGGCTATAAGAGAGACTTTGATCATTTTCCAGTGTGAATTAGGGATGCAAGCCCCAAAGGAAAATTGCCAATTATTTGTTGCTCTGCAAAATATTTGTAGAAAAGCTAATCACGTTATTAAATAACCAGGCTCTTTTGTGTCCTATTTTCAGTAAACTTCAGAAGTCATGCTGCTTCAGAAGATGAAGATTAAGATCTACATTATGCTTTTCGTACTACAGCCTTAAAAATAATTGTTCCTTACTTAAAAAAAAAAAGAAAAACAGAATTTAAGTTACTGAGGAAGTATTTTTTTAAAAAATGGTACAGAATTTGGTGACTAGATTACTGTGGGAAAGAACTTGCTGGAAAACAGATGGATGGAGTGATTCTGGTCAAGCGTTGTTACACCTGTGTCTTGTTGGAATGGATGAGGAAGGGGTTTGGAGAGTTAAAAGGATGCAGTAACAGCTAATTCTATAGAATAAAATGGAAATTAACTCCAAATGTGTCCCAGCTATGGGGAACGCCGCACAGTGAGGGAACTTCTGGTCCTCTGTCCAGTTCGGCTGCCAGCCCCAGACTAAGCAACATCTGCCTTCAGCTTCCAAACACGCTCCTACCACAGTCCTCGCAGTGTGATGCCAGGCAGGTGTGGGCCTGGCACCCTCGCGGATGCCTTGGCTACTGGACAAAGTAAACCTGGGTTGTAGTCCTTAAGAAGAATGTCTAAGAATGTTGTTGTTTGTTTGGGGAAGGGGGAGCTAGTTATTTTGAGATTTCAGTAGAATTTAAATATTTTCAAACGTCAGAGAAAACCCAGAGTCTCAAAAGTGCAATTAAGAAAATGTTGATTATTCTTGCAAGGAATCTAAGTGGTTCTCAGTTTGTTCAAAAAGTGATACTGTCTTCAACTGGTGTTTTAATAATAAGGAAACCATTCACAAGTAAAAGTTCCCCTTTGAAATAAACCAGAAATATTATTACTCAAACTGATCATCTCACTGCTTACTTTTGGTCCTGAGAAACTTCTACTCTAAAAAAAGAAAGACTCTCCCTAAAGGACGGGGCTTTTCCACCACTGAGTGAGTATGAGTGAGTGAGTGAGTGTGTGCACTACCACCGGGACAGAATGTAAATGCTGAGAACACAGAGCTCAAAGGAGAAACAGAACGCTCTTGGGGTCTATAGGAATCCGGTGGAAAAGGATAAAAGTAATCTCAGACACACACACACAGTACATACACACAAGCAATTCTTTTCCTTCTGCAAGTTCTAACCTGCACTTGTCCTGGAACGTAGCATGGCTGCCGCATGGCCAGTAGAGGGCGACAGAGCGCCTTTCTCCAGCTCAGCTGCAGCAGTCGGGAGTCATCCCAAAGGGTCTAGCTTGCTGCTCTATTCACCAGTCATTTTTGCTGGGGAAAGGCTGGGCAGCGTGGCTTAAAGCAAAATAGACTATTTCTGGTATTAAAGACATGATTAAGATCCTGAAAACACCAAAACCCCATGAAGGAGATGTAAATAGACTATTTCTGGTATTAAAGACATGATTAAGATCCTGAAAACACCAAAACCCCATGAAGGAGATGTAAATACTTAAGAAATCTGGTCATACTGGACCTCAACTTCATTTTTTTTTTCCTTCTAAAGATTGTTTATGCATAAAGAACTGAGGCACAGTTCAGAGGTGTACAGGGGCAGTGCGAAGATTCACCAGAGACAGCATGGGGAGCAGAATAGGCAGATCTATGAAATACACCGCTGAGGGGAGCAGCAGGGAGACAAGAGAGGTCTGCTGTGCCATGTGGGTCAGCTCCCTGGCCAGGGATCGAACTGGTGATGCAGCGGCTGTGGCTAGCTTTGCAGTGCTGTGCTTTAACCGGTTGAGCCACCAGGGAGTGCCAGGACCTCAACTTCTTATGTTCAAAAACAAAAGTATTAAAATGATTCTGAGTTCCCATGTTTTTTGCAGCAACATGGGTGGAGCTGGAAGGGATTATTCTTAGTGAAAAAAACCAGAAAGAAAAAGAAAAATACTGGATGGCTTCACTCATAGCAGAAGCTATGTAAGGGGTCAGGGAGAAAAAAAAAGAGAGACAAACAAATATAATAGAGTAAAAAGGAAAACAATGAACGACTATAAACCAGAGACATTTTATGGGGATGGGAGAGGGAAATGGGATTGGAGCTGGGGTGGGAAGAGTGCACTGGACTGTGGTGATGACACACAGGTCAAATGGTGGTGGGAAACCCATGGGGATTACAACTGAGATTTTAGAATGTACAAAATGAAGAATGATGTTAAAAAAAAATACAATAATAAAAAAATTAGAAAAAAATGTTTCTGCGTTCCAAGGAAATATTGAAGGGAAGCAAGTAGGTATTTTCAGTGCCCTGGGGGAACATGTGTGAGAAAGCCAAAGGCAGAGGGAGCCAGGAATGATAACAGCCCAGGGGCCTGCGGGCTCCTCACCCCCACCCCAGGGGGCCCAAGAGCACTGCATGAAGAGGCATCAAAACAACTTCACACTGGGGATCTGAGAAGGGAAGTCTTTGAGCTGAAACAAAGGTGTGATATGAACAGGTCCTCGAAAAGGAAGTGGGGACCCTAGCCTCTGAAATATGGAACTGAAAAGGCACCGTTTTCCCCAGAAATATCGCAGGAACTAGTTACTAGTTGAAACTCATCACTTAGGGGGAGCATGTAAGTGCTGAAAACTCATCGCTTGCAGAGAATGGGAATCTCCAGGGACCCACTGAGAAGGCCGAAATCCTGGCCAGCGCTGGTATTTGAGAGCTGCTTGCAGCAGAATTGTGACTTCACTAGGCAGCAGCAATGTCTCAGACTGGTTCTCTGGAAAGGGACAGTTTCTGGGGGAGTTTGCTCCTCCCCAGCTGTGGGATCACCTGGAAACACACGTGCTAGAGTAATTTTCTGCAGGAACGTGGTAGGCTCAGAGACCAAGAATTCTGGACACTTGCTCAGATATTGGGGCTCGCTGGTAAGAGCCATCCATTTCCCCTTCTTCCTCGGATCTCACCAAATCTCAACAAATACTGCAGTCAAGGAAGAACGGTATCCCTGCTATCTCAGCTCAATGAGGAATATCTCAGACCAGTGATGGCTACAGTTGAGAAGTAGCAGGACAAGAAATAGAAAAACACTTCATGCGTGTGCTGTAAATTCTAGCTCAGAAGAGGTGAGCCAATTTGATTTTGGATTTTACTGCCTTTTACTTTGCAATACTACGTCCAGTCATAGGGCCGGGAATATTTAAGGATGTGAATTTGAGTGGAAGTACATCTCGTAGCATTTGTATTTTTCATTCTAGTTTCTCCCTTATAAATCGCCTCTCTCCCCTCCTGGGCTCATGTGGTTATTGACTTTGCTCTCAGTCCCGGGATGCACTCAGGTCTCAGACCTGAGCAGGCGGTATTGTTCTTCTGGATCAATGTGATTGGATCAGGGCTAGGCATGTGATCCTCACAGAGCCAATCAGATTGCTCCCCAGGATCTTGATGGCTACATTGAGAATGAGGTTTCCATATTTTGTTGGGATTCTTGCTTTGAGGATAATAAAAACCCATTGCTGCTGAGAAACACCTTCGTCATCATTTAGGAGGATTCTGCCTCCGGGAGAAGCCAACAGAGGCAGGTCGTGCTGAGTGATAGAGGAAGGCGTTCTTTTTAAATTTCTTTGTGCACTCAATCCTACTACATTAGCATGCGAACCTCAGACTAGGAAGTTATGTAGCAAATAGATTCTTTCTTTTTGTTTAAACTGATGTGTTTGATTATGTCATAAAAACAGACATATTCTTTCTTCTACAGGCCTAAGAATTGTGAGTGAGTGAGTGAATGAATGAATGGACCAGGGAGTGGTTCAGAAAGAACATTGCATGAGACCTCCAAATCAAAGAGACAAAATGATGCTTTTTACATGAAAGTGCACAGGGAGACCCTCTGGATTTTAAGTCTAAGGCAGCTGTAGAGAGCTTTGTTTCTGGTTTCATGTCCAATTTGTTAATAACGTTGAATCATTGACAATGTTGGCAAAGGGTGGGGGGAATGGTGTCATCCTTTTAAGATGAAAGTACGTGTTGGATTTCCTGGTGTA